GCCTTGCAGCTCGAGAGCGGAGTAAGAAGGATGTTCATTTGCTGGTGCGAGAAGGAGCCGCGTTTCCATCCATTATGCGGTCCCCCGGGAGTGCTAAATGCAACTTTATCTTTACAAGGAATGGAGGACAGCGCTGGAGGGAGCGAATGAGTCCTACGTAGTCGTCTCACCGGGTGTCCAGGCTTAACCTAATCCTTCCTGACACCCTTCTAAGCGGTTCCCTGAGCTCTCGTTTAGGGGAAGGAAGGGCTCCGCGGTGGGCGAGCGCCTAGGTACTGCCCGTCGCTCAGGGAAAACCTGGCCTTTAAGGACCCCGAAGGGTGTAGGGGGTGGAGCAGAAACACAAACAGCACTGGTTTGGACCCAGGTGGACCTCCGGAGAACGAGGCAAACCCGAGTCCCCGAAGCTCGTCTGTTTCCCCTCCGACGCTGGGAGGGCGCCTGTAAGCCCAGCGGGAGGGCATCCGGCCTGAAGTGAGGAGCTCAACGTCCTGCGGCGACTCCACTCTCGCTTAGACTCTTCTCTTTGCACACCGGGTCTCTTCTCACTTTGGGGTGGGGGCAGACTTTTGTCTAGAATATCCCCCTTTTCCTCGAGGCTAGATATTATAAGGGCTGTGAGTACAATTCTCAACTCATCCCCCAACCAATGGAAGTCCATTTGGGGCACATCTGTGTCCACTGTGGCGCTTAGCAAGGTACTTGTCCCAGAATAAAAATGCCCCCATAAAACAATATGGGTGTGTTGGAAGGAAGAGTAGGCTTATGGGGAGGGCCAGGAGCAAAGCCAGAGAGAGTTCAACAAGCCAGGGCTAATGAGGCCAAGAAGGAAAATCACTGGGGCCTCCACTCTCTCTTTAAAAACGAGATGGAGACTGGACCAGAGGGGTGTGCTGTCCACACACAGAGCTGCAAATCTTGATTCCAGCTTCTTCTATTTCAGAAGTCAATTATTTCATTCCACTCTCATTAACTTTCTACATGGCCTTCCTTCCTCAAATGCTTGCTGAGCACGTCTGGGCCAGGGCAAGACGCTAGAGACAAAATAAGGTCTAAAATATGGGTATCTGACCTCCAGGAGGTGGCAGTCTCTGGGAGTGAGGCAGCTACAAGTGAAGAAGTGTTTATGGTACAGGTGTGACAGGTGTGATGAGAGGGAGTTGTAGAGAAATATGGGGTGGGCTGAGGGATGCTCCTTGGAGAATTATCGTGCCACATCTCTGCTGGGCCTTAGCCCCAGGCTAGAGTGGGGCACAGTGGTGGATCTGCAAGCAGTTCCTTGGACTGCATGGAGCCTTCCCCTACTTACTCCAAGGCAGTGAAAGGAAAGGGTGGTGGGCGGAGGCTCAGCCCACCAATATGTCACTGCTTTGTTTTCCCAGTTTGGCAACTGCAGTAACTAGTTGGTCCCTGCCTGTGCTAATGATGCCCACATGGGGGTCTGAGCCTTGGCACAGATTTCTGTGCAGGTTTCTCCCCCACCCGCTTCCCTTCTTCTTGTTTAATGACCAACACAGATTCCCCCTTCCCCTCATCTCATAGCTTTGCATTTTATCAAGAGCAGGATAATGAATGCACAGCTATTGATTTTCAAGGAATTTCCGCCCCCAGGGATAGGGAGTCTATCATCTGGATCAGAAACACATTTCTTTCCCTCATTAATTAATTTTCTCCTCCTCCGTTGGCAGGCCCCACTTCACATTTCCTTTGGCAGTGCCTCTTACCCAAGCTCAGAGAACAGACATTCGTTGGTTGAAGTGAGGATAGGTTACAGAAGCGCTGTACACGGGCAGGCACCTTTGGGGGACGAACTCTCCTCCCCTTTGACCACCTCCCCACGCCCACCCCCTCCACACACACCAAGTTCGGGGGAGCGCACCTGACAGCTGCCACACGCTCTGGCTGCCTTTCTCCTTCCAGAGTGGCTCGGCAAAAGTTAGCGCTGGAGTCAGGAGCCGCTACCTGCATGTTCCGACCCCACCCTCACCCCCATTAAATCGAGTTATTTGTTCGTATTCACGCACAGGGTTTTGGCCCTGAGGAATGTCCTCTTAAATGCGTGGAGGTTGTGTGGGCACAGGGGGAGGAGACCCAGCCCCACGTT